AGGCAAGGAGGACAAGAGGAGAGTGGGCAGGATTTGTGCCTGTGGATGATACTTCTTCTCTGGCCATGTAGATCCTGAACTACTGTGGCCGCACTGGGGGGCAGGAAATGATGGGCAGGGGGGAGAACTGGCCTGTTGTCTATTCAGTTCAGCACTGTATCGAGTGGAAAATGCAAAGAGTTGTCAGAATTTTATCTCTGGGTATATAAACTATGGAAAAGTACAGCCCTTTCCAAACAATTTGAAGGCAGCCATAATTCAGCATGGGACAAAATCGCCTCTGTGGGTGTTTGTGCATTTTTTTGTCTGTGGTTTTCCCTATATTTTCTGGTATGTATCTAGACATAAGGGCCTAGTTGGCTGTGGCTGACTGGCTTGCACCTGTGTTGTACTGAATTTTGTCACAGTGTTGATGCCATTTAAGATGTGGGGAACCTATTTTGCCTGATGGGTCCCAACCCCTGTGGGTCAACGTTGATAGGTGAGTGGGACAACCCATTATCAAGCACTCAATGTCATTGTGTCAACAGATGATGGATAGGTCAAAGTCCTCTGTGTGCCACTTTCCAAGCACCTAACAGATAGCTTGTTGTCGGGGGCTTGAAACCACAGTGCAGAAGGCTTTGCCATGCAGAACTCATGCTGCCATTCCAGCAGAGCTGAACCCACTGCCTCCCTGGCGATGAGTGGTAAGCTCAGCCCTGCTTTCTGCAGGGACTGGCTGTGTGATTGAGATCCCCTTAGTTTCTGGGTTTTTGTGTGTGTGTTTTTGCACATGCTTTTGGCTTATTTTATTTATTACATTTGCATCACTCTCTTCCTCTTGAGGAGTTCAGATCAATATTTTTAAATTCACATGCATTTAAAACTCACAGGCCTGCAGGGTAGGTTGGCTGGAGAGTTACTGAGTTGCCCATAGTAGTGATGTCCACTGCATGGGGCTGAGCTGATATTTGTGTCTGCGTTTCCCTAGTGTGAGCTCTCAAGTCTCACCACTGCACCTTACTTGACAGGCACATCATAACGACTGCTTCTGTAGGTGGTCTGCTTGTGTGATATGCACATCAGTTTGTACAAATATGCCTATAAAAGTGTTTCCATCTGTGGGGTTAGTATTTTAGCACGAAATGTAACCAGTGTAAATCTATCCTTGCATGAAAACATGGCAAGGTTAATGTCAGGATTGTGATACATATTTCCAGTGTTTTTTTCTGGGGGGATGCAGGGGTGGGTATACCCCTAAACATTTTGTGAATCTAAGTTTGGCCTCATTGAGGGGCAGTATTTCAATATGAGTAGGAAATGAGAGCACCCCTAAACATTTTTTTGAAATAAAAAAGCCCTACATGTTTCTTAGGATATTCATATGAAGTTTGTGATGGTGATGTGAGAAGATAACAAGGGAAATCTCTCTCTCTCTCTCTCTCTCTCTCTCTCTGTGTGTGTGTGTGTGTGTGTGTGTGAGAGAGAGAGAGAGAGAGAGAGAAAGAGGAACATTTAGTTTTTGCACTGTATATATAAAAAGATGTTAGCAGTATATATGTCTAGGGATGGACCCTTAATATAAAATGTGCACTGTGTTCTAGTGTATGTTGTTTTGTTATGTTATGGGGATGCATTTTGCCAACCACTCTGTACATTTACACAGACACACACAGGTATCATTCACATGTGTCTGTTCAACACTTACCTTTTTAGTGCTCCACTACTCAGGCACTTGAATCCTGGCAGCTGAACATGGCTATCCACACAGCATGCTTCTAAAGCACATGGGGTGCTGGTGATGTTCTTTAAAGCTATGGTGTGTCTGCAGCCAGAGTGAACTGCGAACTTTTGCCACCTGAAAACCATGCGAGAGACTAAGGGGACATTGAGATGATACAAAAGTCCCATCTGTGGCAGTGGACTTGAGATGACTGTGGTCATACCCATAGCATCCATTTAAAGCACACTGCTTCCCCCAAAGACTCCTGGGAATTGTAGTTTGTTAAGGGTGCCGGGATTTGCAGCTTTGTGAGGGGGAAACCACAGTTTCCAGAATTCTTCTGGGTGGGAGCCATGTGATTTAAATGTGCTTATAATGTAAGGTGTGGAAGTGGCCATATACATGCCATTGCTTGCTGCTTCGTCTGAACATCCATGTATGAAGTGGTCCATGCTTCAGGGGTGGGCAATCTTTCCATTGAAAGCTGATTTCCCTTAAGGGTAATCTGTTGTGGGTGCAGGGCTGCATGCTGGCAAGTGATAGGGCCAGAGCCAAAAGTAGGTGGGGCCTTAAAAAAAACCTTCTCTCTGCCACCCCATTATCTCTGCCTGTCATCTTCTTCCTCCCTGCCCATTGGCTGCCAGGAAGGGAGAAATCCCTACCATCAGAGGTTCTGAACCGATTGCAGAGATCAGTTTTGAAATTAGGCCAAGGGCTGTAGGAAATTAGGCTGAGAGCTGTGCATGTGTCCCTAGAGCTGCAAGGTGCTTGCCCTTGTTCTACAGCGTAGTAATATTAACTAGAAATGTCACGGGAGGCTGGCAGGGAAAGTATCCTGCAAAGGGAAGAAGGCAGAATGGAGGAGGTGAGTGAAGGTACAATTCTGCAGCATGGGTGACCTCGAAAACAAATCATTGTAGCATTCCATTTCTACCTCTTTAAATGGCTTCACCGTCTCAGAGGCTGTCCCACGGCTTAGGCACATAAGTGAAACTGCGTTCTCCATCCAAACTCCAGCTGGTTGAGATGCTCTGCGGTGAATGCATTAAAAACGCTCCATGGTCACTGCAAGGCGCACATTTTGTACGAGTGAGGGTCAATTCCAAGGCAATGGGGATCCACAAGGAGGCTGCTGGCAAGGGGTTCTGTGTGACAGCACTCCTCGATGTCGGCAACAATGTTGGAAAGCCCCATTCCATGTGGTTGGACAGAACTGCTCGGAGACATGATTAAACTGAAAGCAACTCTCAGATGTTACAGCCATTGTAATGAGCCCCATCAGGTGGCAGCAGTTTTGGTCAGCCTCCGTGCGTGGGTATCTGCTCACAAAGTACATCAGAGGATGCGTTGCTGGAAGGAAGTTGCTGTTTGAACTTCATGTCTGTGTGGTGGATGTGTTTCTGTGGGGTGTGCTGTGCGTGTTGCCAGGGCTAGGAATTCCCCAGTGCCTCTTGCAAATGGCACGGGTCCAATTGCGACCACGTGGAGATCTCTTGGATGCCACGTTGGTGATGGATGTCTTCATCTGGCTGACCTCTCCCATTTCTTAAGCAGGTGAGCAGAAGAGCTTATTTATTGCATTTGTATCACACTTTTTTCTTCAAGAGATACATGGCTCAGTTAATTCCTACAATAACCCTGTGAGGTATGATAAGAGGCTGTGCCTGGCCCAACGTCACCCAGCGAGCTTCATGACAGAGTGGGGATTTGAACCCTGGTTTCCCAGGTCCTAGACCGACACTCTAACCACTACACCACCTTGGCTTCCTAGAGTCCTTCTGTTAATGGGGCAGCTATATAAATCAAGTAGGTAAATAAATATGGGAAAAGCAAAATGTCGCTTAGAAAAGGATCTGAAATACTTTTCTTGAAGCTTGAATTTATTTCATTCTGGATTGTTTTATTTGGTGTTTTAATATGGTGTTAACTTCTTTGAGGGTTTTTTAAAAAATATATAAACTGGTATAGAAATGAAATCAATAATAATAACAACAACAACAAAGATCACTGGGGAAAAATGGCACCTAGGCATTCCGTTGTGGCCACTGTAACCTAAGTTTAAGGTGCCGTTTGGCGAATAGATTATATATCTGAGTTTCTAACACTGTGTGTTGCCTACTGTACATGTGTGTTGCACTAGAGGGCCCTGCACTCACCCCTTGATCTGCTTTCGCCTGCCAGAATACAAATAATTTTTGCACATGTAATGTTTGGCATATCAAGAGACAGCTGCACATTCACCACAATGCAGTTTGAAGCTTACTTTTCAGGGCTGTTTCTCTCCCCCTTTTAGCATTATGGGAGCCACTGCAGAATTTCCTTTTCCTTTGCCACTCAGTAGCATGGGGCACCTGTGTCGGTCATGTGAGAGGCATTCAAGCTACATCACCTTAAACACACACACACACACACACACACACTGTTCCTGGGAGGGATGGGGGTGGCATGGGAAGGAGCAGCGGGATGGAGGCTATAGTGCTTGACTGTGGACCTCTGATATTACCAAGTGGCATGTGAAGGAGTTGCTGTTCCGCGTTGCTAAAGGTGACGTTAGAAAGAGTCCTAGGAGGACTTCTGTCTTGTCATCAAGAACCACCGGCCTCCTGTGGCAGGTTCAAAGTACACTGCGCATGTTCAACAAGGACAACGTGGCATGGGATTGACCATGCAGTACTGCAAAAGGCGTCAGTTACACCGGTGACTACCCACACTCCTTGGCTGTATGTGCTCCTTGAGATTTGCTTTGCCCATGGACTAGGTAACTGATGTGAAACTAAACCCCTCAGATTTTAAGTGCTTGCTTCCGCAGCCTGAGAAGTGGTTGGGGAAAAATTCACCAAAGCTGAGCAAGAGTGCCTTGAAGGGTGGGAATGCTTAATGCGGGGGCGGAGAGTAACTGTTCCAAGGCAAACCCCACAAAATGTGCATGCCTTGAGCATTGCGCCCTCGGTCAGGTGTTGAGTTGTGGGACAGGACTCTGCTTCACTCTACTTGGCTTGCTGCTTCCCTCGGTCCGTCTGCTCCTTTCCTGTGTACATTCACTTGTCTCTTTCCATGATCGCTGACATGCCCCGCTAGGTTGCATCCTGCACTGCCCGTGGACTAAGCAGCTGTGTGCTGCTCTCTCTCGTTCTCTCACATACATGCACTCAAACACACTCACTATTCATTTGTGGCATATCCTGTTGCCATTGGAAACCTAAGAAAGAAGTGAATATTCCCTCCAACTCTCAGGCTTTTTTCCTCTCTCTCTCTCTCCACCTCCCCCCCCCCACCTTTCCTCCTCTCCTTGCAGAAGACGAAGAGCTTAGCAATGAATCCGTTGAAGCTCCGATCCATCAAAGCGCCAGATCGACGAGTCACGGACCGTTCCTAAATGTGATTAAATATCCTTTTCTTCCAAAGCTCAGAGGGAACACGGATTTACCTGACCCGGCTTCTTTGCAATTTGGCTTTCAAAGCACAGCATCTTGAGGTAAGAGAACCTTCTCATCCGGTCCCATTCTCCCTTCTCCTCCTCCGCGCAGAGGTGCGCTGGAGGGAGGTCTTGCTCAACCTGTGCTTTGCTCGATAACAATTGCCTAGTTGAGGAACTGCTTCCCAGCCTCCCCCAGCCGCCCAGCGTGGAGCTTGCCGCTTGGAAATCGGGATGTGGGAGGGAACCTGATGCAGCGCTAGCTGCCTGCGATCCAGAGCTTTTCTCCCCCCCCCCAAACATGCCTCTTTCTTGCCTTCTCTCCATTTCTCCACTCCTCACCCCCGCAGTGCACACCCACACACCCACACACCCACACCCACCCACCTCTTTCCCCTTCTTTCTTTGTAAGAGGAGCAGCATTGTTTATGTCTGACAGGCAAAGCGACGGCATGCAAGCTCAGAGCTGAGCTGCTTGCATTCTGAGGGGTGCAGCCGGCTGCAGAATGTACCTTTCACGCAGCACTTGCTCTTTAAGCAAGGCCTTGACATTGCAGGAAGTGCTTGTCCCATCAAGGCATCTGCAGGTGCTATTGCCCCCCCCTTTTGATCATAAGCTTGAACACGTGCTTGGGATCATCTGATGCTGGAGAGTGCTCTTCCTTCAGTTCCCATCATTCCAGCATGAACCTAAGTTGGGTTGAGCATCTGTGCGTGCAGGTCTCGCTCGTGTTCTCCCAATGCGCAGCTTAGCAGGGGAGGTGATAACAAAGAGAAGCACTGGCCATCTTGCAGCTGCTAGGCCCAGAGGGTGCAAGTTGCTGTAGTCAGATCTAAGCATCAGGACGTGCTTTAGCTCTCAGGTTAATATGGGGTTGGGATTTGTTGGGACATGCTTGGAGACAAGGGATGCTTGGAGAATTTCTGCCATAGCAGTGCTTTTTCCATAATGGAGTATTTCGCTGCCACGTTGGGAGGAGATACTGTCCACTGGCCATTTCACTATGTAGGAAAGTCAGAAACTACCACCTTATGTGAGTCCTGGCTCAGTGGCACAACCTGGGTTTTGCATGCTGAAGGTCCAAGTTCAATCCCTGGCTGCCTCTAAGTAGTTGGGTTGGAGGTGTCTCTGCTTGAGATCCTGGGGAGCCAATGCCAATGTGAATATATAATTCTGGGCTAGATGGACAAATAGTCTGACCTGGCATAAGAGAGTGCCCAGCTTGCTTCCTATGAATTTTGGGTGTTTCCTAGTTCCTCTAAAAGTATACCTCTCCCAGAGGGAACATGGAGTTCTTGGGACGATGCAATCCATGGGCTATAGATAAAGATGTCTGTGCAGAATGCTAGCACATGGTGATCCCAACAACTGATTTTTCAGGGTGTGTGCATTTTAAACCTTAAAAGGTTTTTATTAAGGGTGGTAACATGGTAAGATCTCTCACGCTTTGAAAGAATTGGGCATTTGGATGCATAGTGAAGTAGTCATATGAGCATGTGAAGCTGCCTTATATTGAGTCAAACCATTGGTCTATCTAGCCCACGCTGACAAATTGAGAAATTGAAACCACTACAAAGCAAAGCCTTGCTAGCTGAGTTCCTGAGGCCCACTAAGCTCAGACCTGGCTCAGGTGCTTTCAACAAGGTGTGGGCACCCATCCAAGCTATGCATGATTTAGCCCCAGGAAAATACCTGACCACAGTTTCCTTTTTGAAATGACTCTATACGTAAAAGAACATTTCCTCCACATAAGAGGAGATTCCTCTGTCCTCTCTATTGCTTGTTCACAGTGCAAATTGTTCTCTAAGCTACTGAAGACAGCTTTGCTGCAACTTGCAATATGCCATTGTCTGAAAGTCCAGCCCACACTCTTAAGTAGCTGGACTTCAATGAAAAATTCACCAGTGTCCTGAAGAATTGCCCATTTAGTATGTTCAGTTGTAGTAATTGTTTGCAATATTTTTTTTCTTCCTGGGCAAATCACTGTGACTAATGCTCAGAGGAGGCCTGCGGGACTTTATAATTGACAAATAAAGGCATTCTTGATAGTTGGAGGCTGCATCTGGGTTTTAGCAGTAGGGCTCTGCACAGATCCTCTCGATTCTTAACTCTCTTCGCAAGAGGACCCTTCTGATAACAGAACCTTTATCCTGCTTCCTGAGGTGCGTTCTCTCAGCGGGTGGTAAGTACCTGGAAACGCTGATCTTGGAACAGTATCATACATGCAATGCAGGTGGAGGGTGGCTGTTTTTATTATGGTGTTATAGGAAACCCCATGGTGCGAGGGATTGCGGTTTTTATTCTTCATAACTTCCCCTGTCAAGTTGTGAAAGCGATCTGTGACTTGAGCTGAATGACTAAGTCTGTGTATAGACAACCACATTTTCCTCCCCTGCCTCTATTGCTTCCCTTGTGTTGAATATTCAAATGTAAGCTCCTTGGGGGCAGAGACTGCCTTCTTGTTCCTCTGTAAAGCACGATGCATGTGAATGGTAATAACAATAATTTGACAGATTGCAGCAGAACATGACACAGTCCTTGTAGGCCTTGTTCATGCTAGGCTTGCCTCAGAGCAGCAGGGCCTCTTCTTGCGTGCATAGTCATCCAGTTGAATAATAACAATAATAACAATTTATTTATGTATTTATTTATTTATACCCCGCCCATCTGACTGGGTTTCCCGAGCCACTCTGGGCAGCTCCCAACAGAATATTAAAAATACGATAAAAGATCAAACATAAAAAACTTCCCTTTAGATGTCTTCTAGAAGTCAGATAGTTGTTTATTTCCTTGACATATGATGGTAGGGTGTTCCACAGGGTGGGCACCACTACCAAGAAGGCCCTCTGCCTGGTTCCCTGTAACCTCACTTCTTGTAGTGAGGGAATTGCCATAAAGCCCTCGGAGCTGGACCTCAGCGTCTGGGCAGAATGATGGGGGTGGAGATGCTCCTTCAGGTATACTAAGGTCTTAAATATCTCTGGTCAACGAGCAGTTCTCTTCACACATCTGCTTCAGTCCACTGGAACCACACTTTTTAACAAGTCTACTCAGCCTGTGGTGAGGTAGCATCAATGCCCAAAGCTTCATTCCAACGGGATTGGCTTTTTGGCATGTGATTGCAAGCTCATGACCATTTTCTAAAAGCCAGCCCAGGAGTCCTGTACTATCTATCTATCTATCTATCTATCTATCTATCTATCTATCTGGTATACCACCTTCATCTAAAGATCACAGGGTTGTTCGCAACATATAAATACTATACGAACACAAGACAGCAGCAGCTGGCAGATAATGGAGGAGAGCCTAAGGTGTCCCATCCTGAGGTCTTAGGTTGGCCAGATACAAAAGAGGTCAGAGCTCCTGCAACTCTAAAGGTTGTGCAGAAGAAGGAATTTCAACAGATGTGGCTCATTGTGCTGAAATCCCCTCTTTAAAGCAACTGTTAAAAGTGCAGGAGCCCAAGACCTCATTTTGTATCCAGCTACCCCTCTTAGAGGTCTTGTCATGTCACCTTCAACAAGGGCACAGGCTGTGTATGCACCTGTACAAATCAACAGGTGTGCACTCTTTCACACCAGCACTTGTACATGCATGGAGATAGCTCATAGCTGCGTTTGGTGTAACATCTGAACAAGCCAAGGAGTGTTTGTGCTTTTCAGCAGGAGGAAGGGGGAAAGAGAAGAGGTAGGTTGCTCAGCCTGTTGCCCGGTGCTAAGTTTGACACTGGCCCTCTGCCTCACCTAGCTGTCAAATACTGTGGAATGCATTTGGGTTGCCAGGGTATAATCTGGTGATGGGTGCCATATTGAAGTCTCAAGGCTTTTCCTCCACTTGGTTCCCCTCAGTCCTACAAAATGTCTCCCCACATCTAGAACCCTGCATCATCCCTATAGCAAGTGAGGTGGATGAAATATCAGGGGGGTGGGACTGAAGACCCCTGGTTGCTCAATCTGGAAATGGAGCTTCAGATCCAATGTATCTGAGGGAGTGACATGGAGTTTCCTAATCTTTCCTTGGAAGTGATGTTTGCTGGGAAGCCTCCCATCCAGGCAGCTTGGCAGGCCAGGCTGCTCAGCAACAGAACTGTCTCATCTGCCTCCGGCCCGTTTCATGTTCTGTTCTTTGTTGCCGGCAAGGTGGAAGTTCACATCTCTCTGTGCTCTTTCTCCCCGCTCTTCACCATTTCCTCCCACGCCAAGGTTAGGCAAACATCAGGCAGGAGTTGGAATCCCTGCCGTAGGTATGCAAGGCCTTAATTCGGCCTGTGAAGATGTGCACTCACCTTTTACCTGAGCCAATGCAGGGGGCACTGCCTTGCCTATAATGTTCAGCAACTGTTCTCTGCCAAAGGGACTTTTTCTTGAATGGGGAGTTGCGGCTTGGCCTGAGCTGCTGCTCTTTCATACCTCAAAAGCACATTTTGCCTCCCCGTTGCTAGTAAATGAGCCCTGAGTCACCATTCACTCTGCTGCTTCTGTTTATAACTGTGCTCCTCTTACCCACTTCTTTCTTCCTTCACTTTGGTGGTTAGTCATAGGCACACACACAACGCACTCACTCCCCTGAGTTGCTGCTCTCCGTTTTCAATGTTTATATAATGTGGAATAGATTTCCCACCCATTTTTATCTAGAAGACCTTACCCCCCTCTTTCTATATACAGTCATCCCTTGGGTTACAGCTGCTTCAGGTTGTGTTTTTTCAGGTTACGGACCGCCGAAACCCAGAAGTACTGGAACGGGTTACTTCTGGGTTTCAGTGGTCGCGCATGCGCAGAAGTGCTAATTCACGCTTTGCACATGCACAGAAGTTCTGGATCACAACCCGCGCGTGCACAGACGCACAGACACAGGTTGTGAACGTGCATCCCACACGGATCACGTTCGCAACCCAAGTGTCCACTGTACCTTATTCCAGTAGAGATAATAAATTCTAGTATCATTACAAAAACTGTATCTCTGGATCTCTCTTTTTTCCAAATCATGGCTTTGTTCCGTTTCATGAGACTTCCTCAGCCCTGCAGGACACTTTCTGAATTCTGTGTGTGGTGTACTGGAG